TCTAAATTATTCATGGTCTCTATCCACCTCTTCCTACGTTCTTCGCCTAACAGACTAATCCAGCGGTTTGCATTGACCTTGGTACCATCCTTTTCATACTCATTGAGAAGGGTATCGCATTCCTTCGTCCTTCAGGGAGTATAGCTATGCCTGTCCTCTAGGTATTGATTTTTTAGTCGCTGTTTTTAGGAGTTTTACGAATCTAGTGTAATTTGCTGTCTCAGGTTTTATTCAGTTTATGTTTTCCTCGACATATTTTGAAAAAGCATACCAATCCGCTTTTCGTAAATTCCATCTTGGCATGAGTGGTTTGTCAATCGTCGGTATTATAATTCCTACGGATACGATTACGGGGCAGTGTTGACTTCTGGGGAATTTGTTTTTTATTACGCGATTTACACTAAGTGGTAGACCTTCGTACACGAAACATAAATCCGGAGATGTTTTCGTGCCCCATCTTCCACATACAAATGTGTCCCCCTGCTTAGCATTATAGATCAACTTAAATTGGTTTGTGGCAGCCCAGTTAGAGAGTAATTCTCCATCTTCATTTTTGGCCGTATATCCCCATTCTGTGCTGTGGAAGTTAAAGTTTTCAACACATATTGAAGGATGCAGTCACACTTGTAATACCATTGACGTCCAGTTGCACGATGGGGGTTTGTATACATTGTATATGGTCAATTTACCAATACGGATATCACACGTGTGTTCGTTTCCTTCGACATTTATAACGTCAAGTGAGGTTATCTTATTCTTGTTAATATAAGTTGTCAATCCATGCCTCCTGTGTCCAATGTAGGTTCACCATATGGAAACCGTCGATTCGAAATTGGTTTGTTTCACTTTCTGGTACATGGGTCTTTTGAATAGCTATAACATCTGTATCAGGGAAAAGCTTGTATATTATATCGGCTTTAGATCTAGTTAATCATTCCACGTTAATTTGTACTATCTTTATGTTGTTATCTGTGCCTGCCTTACATATAGTGTTACTTAGTTTACTATTGTCTTAGTATTTTTTTGGTTTTGAAATTCTCTTATATATTTTTTTGTTTTTATTTTTTCCAATCTCATGGAAAGCATGATTGTCATAGAGATAGCCCTGAAAAAGGCTGTTTACACCAATAAGGCCGGGAGTTCTTTCGACATTCGGCCACCTAGTTTGTGCTGTTTGGCTTCGTGTTGTTGACATTGTTGGGCGAGATTTCGAAAAGACGCAGTGACCCTTAAATATTATTAACAGTACTAATAATAATAATCACTTAAAAGTGTCATCAATAGATGGCTTCTTTTATTAAGTATTCATGTTGTATTTTTATTTTTAGCTAATACTCTTATTCTACCCATCTAAAACAGTTTGCGTATATTTTGAGAGGTGACGACTTGGGCCACGCAAGGGATTGTGTAGTCGCCACCCTCATGACTCCCTTGCAAAAGGAAAATCGGGTCAACCACTTAGGCGAGGGTCTTGATCATAAAAAAAACAACCGGACCATAAGTGGATTAAAAAAAAAACAAAACAAAAAATAAACTAATAATATTAAACAATATTATTATAATAATAATATTTAAACAATAATATTTATATATTGTAATAATATATAAAAAATTATATGTATATATATACTAAGATATAAAGTGTTGTCGTATACTATAATACGCTGTACCTTGTAAATATAACAAAATATGTTTGTTTGATGTCACCAGTGGTGGACATACTTTAGTATGTCGAAGACCGTTACGTTAAAACTAGAGAGAATTATTTAAAGGTAAAAAAAATAAGATACACGTGAATATTGAAGATATTCGCGCAATAAAAAGATTTTTGTTGATTTAGAAAATTAAGGGGACTTTATTAAATTATTAGAGTTAAGTTAATAGTGGACAAAACCTGAAGGCAAAAACCACTCTGAAAATAAAGGGACAAGAGAGAGAAAAAAAATTTAACCTACAACTATTAAACATTACACGTGAAGTGTCTTTCGCATCGGAACAAGTCCGTGTACTCCGGGCGCGGCGGATAATTTTTGTAATCTTTTACTTGGGCACTGCGGGAATAATATATATATATATATATATATGTATGTATGTATTAAATATACATGACACACCACTGACCAATAACCTTATAAATATTAATACTAGATAAAGTTTATATACATTTCATAAAAAAAATAAATTTAAAACAGAAAAGGCTCAATACATTACATTACATTAAATAAAAACAATACGATACCCAGTCCCGGAGGGGACTCATCTGAAGATGGGGATCTCGGCCCCAGAAAATGGCCGACGCCTTACAAAAATTAGTACATGATTTTACAAAACGACACACACGAAAAAAAATTAATATTGGCTGTACGCACACAGCAACAAAATACCACAACGGTAATTCAAAGGGAAGCGAAAAAAATTTTTGTTACACAACGGGCGAGACACAACGACGACGACGATTACGTTTGGGAAAGGGTATCGGCTTAACAATTTACAAAATATAAAAAAGATAAGTGTATTAACAATATTAAAATTATAGAGGTTTTGACAGTGGTGGCCAGTGTATGTGTCATATAGGGAACGATTATTAAACTGATAAAGAATATTGTGTGTATAGCGTTCACCTTGACAGCAACAGTACAGTTTTCTGATTACACGGCCGGATATAACGTACGCGCGCCCAATAGCAAAGCAAAACAGTAAATCTATCTATACCATAAAAATTCACATTTTGTCACGTTACAATTTATTAATAAAGAAAAAATAAATTGTACAAAATTTGGAGATGATTGGTCAACTCTAAGACGTGCCCCAAGGGTGTTAAAAATAACCCCCCAAAGGTGATTTTTTAGTTTTTTTTGTCTATCTCAAAAACTTTAGTTTTTGCGAAAAAGTTTATTTGTATTTTTTTGTAGGTATACAATTAAAAAATTTATATACAAGAGTTTTTGAAAAGTTCTTATTTAGCGATAAAAAAATAAAAACGTATATGTTCTATTCTTACCGTTAAAATTGTTAATTTATAAATAGTTCATTGTATAAACAAAAAAAAATTTATTTAACCGTTGTTTTTAATTTAATTTTCTATACATTTTTAATTCGATATTTTTTCTATTATTTACTATTCAAAACCTACAATTTTTTTAATTTTAATTAAAAAAAAATACATCAGAGTAAAATTAATACCGTCTCAGCTTCACATTGAAGCTAAAATAATGTTAACTTATAAATTTATATACAATCAGAAACTATATAAACTTGTAATAAAAATACATAATGAACGAATATTATTTAACTCTTTGATTGACAATTCAAATTGGCCCCGAAACAAAAAAATTTTCAAACAATAAATGGCCTTGGCCATCCAACGAGCATGATGGATTGGGCCAGGAATTTTAAAATAAATTCCATGCATATGTTAGGGCGTGATATTTTATACTTACCATGCAGACATCACATTTATAAAATTATATTGAAAAGTGTTTTTGAAGTAAAATTTAATACGTCATCTGAACCAGATGTTCCTATTTTCAATAAATTCCAATAACCTTGGCAAAATACAAATAAAACAAATTACTTAAGTGGAACAGAAGATACTGTTATTTTAGAAAAATTAAAAACAAAAAAAGACGATATTTTGAAATTTAGTTTTGTATATAAATTTTTTATAGAAAAATTGTATACCTACAAAAAAATACAAATAATCTTTTTCGCAAAAACTAAAGTTTTTGAGATAGACAAAAAAAACTAAACAATCACCTTTGGGAGGTTATTTTTAACACCTTTGGGGCACGTCTTAGAGTTGACCAAACATCTCCAAATTTTGTACAATTTAATTTTTCATGTATTCGAATAATTCTAGGGTGTGGCACTTTGTAATTCTTAAATTTTATAAATAAGGGATACTCTAATATATATATATTCCGTGCTATTTTTATAATTTTACAACAGCGAGCAACTAATTTACCAAAATAACTACATTAATTCTAGTAGATGGAAAATTAAATTCGCAGAAAGGAATTATATCTAAAAAAATCAACAGTTTTGCCGGCCGTGGCGACCCTAGGCTATAGCCTAGTTAGTCTAGTCCTAAATCCAGCCCTGGGTGACGTGGCATAGTTGGGTTAAGTATAATAATATCTGACAGTGATTAAAATCACTACCATAAAAAACGCTTCGATGAAAATCTTTAGTAGTGTTTAATTTTAAAAATTGGTGGATTATTCCAAAAGTTAATTGATCTGCTATTTCCTTATTTATATCCTGATTAAAATAAAGTATGTCGAATGAAAGATGTATATAAATACTACTTCTCATGAAAAAATTGTATTGATCCATACACTTTTCAAAAAGTTATAGCATAATAAAGTTAAAAATGTAAAATACAAAATCATGAATTTTCAAACAAAAATAGCAGCATTCGGTAGCCATTTTCACCGCGAAGACAAAATTAAGTCCGAAATTTTTCTTTTCCCTAATAAAGTATATTATTTTAGCTTTAGTTTAAGATATCTATAAAAGTGTCACACTTTAAGTAAAATTAGCGATTTTTAAATTTGTAATTTTTTTGGAGATTTCCCCACACACACAAAAAAAAATACATCACAGTAAAACCAATACCTTTTCAGCTTCGCAACGAAGCTAAAATAAAATAAAAAATAAGTACATGGTAAAATTAATACCCTCTCAGCTTCGCAACAAAGTTATGAGAAGTTATGTTATGAGAAAAAAATAGGTCTTTAACCTAGTAAATTTGTTGGCAACTAGGACTAAAATTGATTAAAGTATTATATGCTTCGCTCTGGCATTTTTTATAGACAGCTCTATAAAAAATTGTCGAATTGTTTAGAATATTATGACTTATTTTAATAGGAATCTTATTCCTCTAAATACTGTATGAATAAATAAACAAAATATTATAGAAAACTCTATGTATTTTTAACAGTAAAGAAAAATATTTAGTCGTGATAATATATTTAATTTGTAATATATATATATATATATATATATTAGGGTGTCCCTTATTTTGAAAATTTTGGAAATTCTTCGGGCTCACCCCCCAAATTTGTGTGTATACATATAAAAAGTGGCTACAAAAAATTTCAGGCCGATCAGATAAGTTTAACCCGTGCCGACTTGGGGTTGAAAATCGGCCAAAAGGGGTACTTTTTTAGTTTTTAGCAATTAACTCGTAAATTAGCACTCTCACAAAAAAAAATATTAAAACTAAATTGTAGATCTAATTGTTTTGTATAAATTAAGTCCTTACAGTTTTTCTTTTAAATCCATTAGTTTTCTAGAAAAATGTCAAAATACATAATATTTCGTAAAATTGCCGAAATTAGCATATTTACGAATATTTTATCATATATGACGAACCATATGTGATACGACCTAATGTTTCATACAAAAATTGTTTAAAATTAAATTTTACGAAATAAAAGTATTAAGTACAAATTTCATTGAACCGATCGTTTTATTGCTATAGCTGAATTAACTCGATCATATTACGATTTTTACTAAATATATGAATTTTATTGCTTAATTTAAATATATTTCCTTTATATTGTAAAGTGATGTATTTGTTTGACTTAAACTCATAATGATACTTACTTCTCAATATTATTGTATAAATTAAAAAAAAGTTACTATATAAAATACAAAATGTTAAATTCAAAATAATTCACAAATTATAACAAAAATATACATTAAAAACTATGTTTTAATGTTTTTTTGTTGCAATTAGGATATAATATTCTATGCTCTTGAACACACAGTGTAAAAGTAACTCAGCTTTTTCATCGTTTACAGTTAAACTTTCATGGAAATCTTCCATTACCTTAACCGCTTTATCTGCAGAGTCATTTACTACTTTAAGTGAACATACAATTTCTTTTTCGTGTAAATAAAAATTATCAGTATTCCAATTACTTGGATCCAAATTTAAAAAATTAGTATTGATATCGAATCGTTTGAAAAATTTCATACTGCTTTTTGACAAAAAAGAAGCTACAGTTTTTCCTAAAAAAAAATATCAATCACTCAATAGTCATCAAAAAATAAAGATATCAAAAATTATTATACCTGAAAATGATTTGTCAATATGACTCGATGAAAGAATAAAACGTTTACTAGGGTTTATTATTGACTCATTATTAAGGGATACAACCATTAATTTTTTTATTTCGGTTGAAATGGAATCGTCCATTTCCCAGAAAATATTACACTCTCGAATAGTCAATACTGCTTTTGTTCTTATAGTAAGATTAACAATTCTTAGGTTATAAAAAAAAACTTTTAGAACTTGTCCAATGGATGGAAGTTTTGAACCTAAAATTTGAGTAGTCAAAGACCCTATTAAAAATATTTTATTGTCATTTCTTAATACTACGGACATTTTTACGTAAACTAAAAGAAAAACACAATAGGAAGCAGTTCAACTTAATACGCGATGTGAGTGACTAAAGTGGTATAAGTATAAGTTCACTACATCTATTGCTGCGATTTGTAATAAATTTACGATTTCCAGAGTTATTTATAATTTAAAAATAATAACAATACATTAATTCAGTCATACCATAGTATTATCGCCGTACTTGTACGATAAGTGTTGTAATAAACCAGATGATAACTAACAGAATCTAGCATTAAAATTCATATATTTAGTAAAAATCGTAATATGATCGAGTTAATTCAGCTATAGCAATAAAACGATCGGTTCAATGAAATTTGTACTTAATACTTTTATTTCGCAAAATTTAATTTTAAACAATTTTTGTATGAAACATTAGGTCGTATCACATATGGTTCGTCATATATGATAAAATATTCGTAAATATGCTAATTTCGGCAATTTTACGAAATATTATGTATTTTGACATTTTTCTAGAAAACTAATGGATTTAAAAGAAAAACTGTAAGGACTTAATTTATACAAAACAATTAGATCTACAATTTAGTTTTAATATTTTTTTTTGTGAGAGTGCTAATTTACGAGTTAATTGCTAAAAACTAAAAAAGTCCCCTTTTGGTCGATTTTCAACCCCAAGTCGGCACGGGTTAAACTTATCTGATCGGCCTGAAATTTTTTGTAGCCACTTTTTATATGTATACACACAAATTTGGGGGGTGAGCCCGAAGAATTTCCAAAATTTTCAAAATAAGGGACACCCTAATATATATATATATATAATAACACTCTTTTAAGAACAGTAATTCATAATTTCTACAGATTAAAATGAGAAAAAATTAGTCACATTATGGTGTATTTCAAACTCCAAGCTTTTAGGAATTAAATTTTTTAAATAGCCTTACAGTTTCTAATAACTTTGATGATATGTCTAGGTATAATTAAATCATCATAGGATAAATGATGTATCCTTGTTGGTTTTTAATAATTATATTATTGTTTTTATTCTAAATTAAATTGTGTTGTAGTTGAATCAAGTTCATTCTATATTTTTGAGCAACATTTTTTAAGAGAGAAACTACCTTATAAATTCCTTATCATTGATTTGTGGTGTATTTGTTTGTTTGAAAGTAATGTCTGGATTTATTCTTAAAATCAACATTATACCCTATAAGAGGCGTTTAAATGTATTTGGTGATTATCTAATCTACCTGTTGCACTCAATTGAGAAAATTGAATTTTTGAGCACATTTTGGTATATTTTGCTTGTTAAAAGTTACTTTAACCCGTTTTGATAAGTATTTTACAAAGAGCTATGTCACGGAATCATATGACCCACTCCTATTTTTTCGATGTTTTATAAACTCTATAATTTATAAATCTTGGATTTTAATGACTTGTCTAGAAAAATACGTATTAGTACGAAGGAATTGATTATACTATCGTAGAAGATAAACGTGTGAACGAATCATTAGAACAATTCGGATTTGTCGTAACACAGTAAAGAAAATGATAAAAGGTAAATGTGCAACTATGTGTACGAAGATGAATATGAGGAGGTGCTGCCTGCTGTCTAGGTATTCACGTGCGTGTTGTCGTACAGCAGTCACCGTGCTCGGCTGACACTCCGGGTTAGCTGTGGGTGTCGAAAGGCTGTTGTTATAGGAAGGGAGAATAAGAGTAACACCTAGGTATGAGGTGCAGACGAAGTGCAAGACACAAGTACTCTGAAATGTCGAGGAAAAGAGTATATAGGTTAGAAAAGGAATAAACAAAGACTTTACTTTAAACAGTAAGCCGGACAGCGACAACCGAGTACTGAGACTGATGAATGACACAAGGCACTGGAGTCGACTGACCACGATGGTCAGGTCTATTGGGTTTTTATAATAATTACACCTATTGCCGATTTGGCAATAAATATTATTTGTTAATTCACCAGTCTCAGGCAGCGGATGTGCTGTCTGTATTTTATTAAAATAATTCTCACGATTATGAAAACGTGACACCATCACAGATTGTTTGATTGATTCGAAATTCCCATCACTAATGTATCCTCCTATTCATTCTTTTGTTTGACTACTTAATAAGTTTTAACGCTAAACTAGCGAATGAAAATATACAGATTTTGAATATAAAAATAGATCATAGTACTTTTCAGTTTCATTTAGCCTTTTAATTTCAATTTTGATATTGAATTTTATCGATAATATAGATTTCAAGACCAGTTTTTAATAAAAGTTTTAAACAATTAATTGTATAAATGAAAAATCGATAGGTTTAGCCACCTCCCAGGTTAGAAATTATACAAAAAAATTTGCTGTCTTGGTTTATCAATGATTATATCTGTGATATTTTTTAAAACACCCGTTAAGTCATGAAAATCAAATATATTATGATATATTACATTTTGAAAACTAGCCACAGATATTTAATATTTAATTAAAAGTTTAAACTTAAATTGAAAATTAAATATTTTAAGATTGTTATGAACATATTAAAATAGTGGTTTCACATATTAATATATTTATATTGTATATATAGGCAATTTTTATTTGAATTTGAGTAAAAATTAACCTATAATTTATATTTAAAAATTTATTAGGTGCTGCCATTGGAACAGTAGTTTGTACCATCTTTAATCAGGATACTGTATTTAATGATCATCAACTTTATTCTAATTATCCTGATTATACTATTGATACAACTTCGAAAACTAATGTGTCAGAAAGACAAAAACATTTGGAATCTAAAAGAAGTAAGTTTTTAAAAATAAAAATTACCCACAATTAAAATCAACTAATTATTTAAATTTTAAAAGTAAAAATATTCAATAAAAAATTATGAATCAAATTGTGTTATTACTAGATGACTACTATAAATGAGCAATAGTATCTCATTTTCTTTTTTTTTTAAGTAAAATATTTTGTTATTGATGAATATAATAATATAGGTAAAAAAAAAGTCTCATAAAACCTTAACCTAAAATACTATTGCTGACTCCTTAAAAAAGTGATTTTCATTCGCATTGGCGTACAATTGGAGGATTCTTTAGCCTTGTCCCAAAATTTTTTAAAAATATTGTGTGTATTGTTATATAAAAATATATTTAGTGCAAGGTAAAAATCAATTTATTTCTTCTAAATTTTTCTCATACTTTCGTCTAAGTAAAACTCAACAAAGGATAGGTTTGAGTTACACTATATTATATTTTTAAAAATGGTAACTAATTTTTGCTTATTCATAATAAATTTGTTGCATAAAAAAAACTATACATTTGGTTATGAAAGTCACAATAATTTTACATTTTTTTACGTTACAGGAAATGGATCAATTAAAATTTCTATATGCTCGATATGCCTAGAAGAGTTTATTCCTTCTATTGTTTTGATTCCATGTAAGCATTCATGTTTTTGTGAAGACTGTTTTTTAAATGTTCAAAAAAAAAAAGTTACAAAATGTCCTGTATGCAGAGAATTAATATTTGAATTTAGAAATATTAGTTCATAATATTATACTAGTTAACACTCCTTATTTATAATATTTATAATGTAAATATATCTACTAATTCACTAATATACTCGTTTTACTAACCAATTTAAAATAAATAATTTCTCTTAATCATTTTTTGTAGTTAAAATTAAATAATTTTCAATGTGTTTGTTTAATTTTAGTTCCATTCCAAAGAAGATACGTTTGCAATTATTTTTTCTCTCTTAATTAAACGTTCACACTAAATTTTAAAATAACTATACAAATGAAACAACTAGAATTTTTTTTTAAATAGTTAATAAAAATTTACATAGTTTATTTCCAAATAAACAACTTTTAATAATTTATTTTTAGTATTAACAAATCAACCAAATTTTAGCCAACAACCAGGCTGTCGCGGCAATATTGATTACTGACTGTCATGATTATTAGTTGGAAATAACTATTGTATAAAAATAACAAAAGAAATTAAATTTAATATGTATAATATGAATATAAGCATAATAATAATTGTATTCAATTAAGCTAAACAACGTTCTACCTAATCAGAAAAATAAATTGTACTTAGAACTATAATATTTTTTAACAAATAGAAATTTAATTTATACCATATAGATATGAAAATTTCGCAATATTAAGTTAAATTATACAAAACAATAAACTGTATTAAAACTAGTTATACATAAACACGTAGTTACTGTCAGGGGCGCCAGAACTATTTTTTATATGGAGGCAAAAATTTAATGACTAAAACTCGGTCCCCTTGGTTGTTACTAAGCTAAAAAACGGATTAAGCGCTATTTTTTGAAGGATTTAGTGATCACATAAAAGAAATCTGGTAATTTATAAATTTAACTCTCAATAATATATATTATTAGCTTCGATGCGAAGCTGAGAAGGTATTAATTTTACCATATGTTTATTATTGTTTTTTTTTTGTGTCTGTTACTACTTTTTTTCAGCTATCATTGGACCAATTTTTCAAATCGGTTGATCAAAAGATCACAAATCGTATCTAGTTGAAGACAATACCCTCAAAAATTAAACATTTTTCCTGGTTTCCCGTAAATGTGATAATCCCCCAAAAATTACGATTTTTAAAATCAGAAAATGTCCATTTTTAGATTGAGTTTAAGTTTTAGATCCTCGATTTTGTGAGCTACTGTTCCCAGTTGATCTTACGATTCCTGGTCTGCATTTGTTGACATTGCCGTCTCTTTGCTAGTAGACGGTTCATCAAGTGTCCCGTTGTGTTCGCATTGAGACTTTTAAGTTGGACGATTCATCTGCAAAGAGCAGCCAGTTCACGTTCTTGTTCCGACAGGTTGTCCGTAGGATCCCTGTTCGTTCCAAATTCGTTAAATAAAGGTCCATCACATCAGAGCTCGATACTGTGATAATACTGTATACTTTATGGAGCGCCAGGTGTCAGAGGATTCCAATGGTCATTTTACCTTTCGGTTAAATACCCTATGACAAATTAGCAACCCTATCACTTTGTATGGCTGGGTTAGAGGGGCCTATTCACTGTTAGCAAGTAGGTATGTTTAGGTCCCAACTAACAAGAGTCATGACCGGCTAAGAGCAGTGATATGTGTTGCCATGCCCACTGAATTAACTTGGGTCCGCAGGGTTGTTAAGCTTGTGATCCTTACGGACCCCCTTGCGGGTGTCCGTAGAACCTAAGTCACCGAAGTCACGTTAAGGATCATAGGGTCTAGATCTATTATGGTTAAATTAAAACAGTTAGATAGTTTTCATAGCTCTTAGCTTTATTGCATCAGAGAAAAATTCTTGCATTACTCTCTGGAAAATAATGTTATTAAGAAAAAGACTGGTCGATAACTTTTGGACCAGTATTTCAGAAGTTATGAATATTTTTATGACATATTATCTAGGAGAAAGAGCAGCGGGCCACAACAGTATCAGCAGCCCTAGACCTCATCTCTAGTCATTACTTTAAATTGAACTAAAGTAGATTATTCCTTTAGAACGGAGTGCTTTGAATGTCATAAAAATAACTTTTCCAGTCAAACTATTTATAGTTATCATTTAACTTTTTAATTAAAACTACTCTTGAAAGTCTACATATTTACATTTTACAATACATTTGAGTGAGATTAAATTATATTCATCATGAATCATAAGAATAAATAAGATATATTATGTAAATATTTTTCTTCAATGAAAAAATTAGAGTTATTCATACTTTTTTATTATTATCATTATTATTTTAAATAAATTACCCTGAATTCTTAAAGAACAATTTTTTGGTAACACCACAGATTATATATTCCATGAAAAATCTTACTATATGATTTTTAAAGCAAGACATAACAAAAATGATTATAGTTGAATATGAGAAAAGTCCTCTGCCAATTTTTTCGTTTGGGCTATAATTTTCTGTAAACAGCTAATAAGCCATTTTTTTTTATCATAACTTAACTAAAAAATATTGTTTATAGGGACATGTATCATAAAGAATAGTTTTAAATAATATGAATAGTACAATATCAAAACGCCTATTGCTCAATTTTAAATACAACCCAAGTTGTAATTTATGATGGAGATAAAACTAAAAGAAAAACCAAAATTCAATGGGTTCACAGTATAATCTAATAACTTAAGTGTCAAATATGTAATTTTATTACAATAATTCACAATTTAATATTAAAATAGTTATATACAAACAAAGAACTATTAAGCACAATAATAAATTATAGAAAGTTAACTTAAAATTAAACAAATTTATACAAAATAAGTAACTATAATTACAAAAAATTAAATAAAATAAAAATGGCAGAATGAAATGTTTTTATTCCAATATACAGATTTTTGCTCAAATGTAATGTATTTGTGCCGATGAGATCTTATACAATACATATAGTAGAAATAACTATACATGCAAAAATACTATTTACTCAGCGAGTTGAATAATTTTTTTTCTATTTAAGTACACTTGACTAAAGTGGATTTATTAAAATATTTAAAATAGGTGAATATACCCTGTGGAATTTTTCTGTTATTACAGAAAAAAAATACATATGTTTTAGTTAATAAATAATACACAATAGTTAAATTAAATCAAATTTGTCAATGAAAAAAGTACAAATGCTGATTTACGATTCAATATACAAATGCTTTTTGGTAACTAATAAAATAAATAAATTGTGATAAACAAAAATTTTTACTCCAAAATAGTATGTATTTAACTTGTTCACTTATTTTTAAGTTTATTGGTCATTAATTTACAGAAGATTTCAAAATTATAAAGAGTCATTTTAAATGTTCCATAGTTATACATATAATTAGGTACGACTTGTTAAAATTATTCAACAGTTTATACTAAAAATACACTTAAAATAATACAAGGATAGATGCCAGAAGAAAATATTGAAATAGTTTAAATGTATAAAGACATATAACCGAATATAAATAATATTTAAAAATAGTTGGCTATATATAAATTAATGATGAGTGATGTTTCATATTATATCAACTAATGTAAATTGAAAAACTATGAATTCTGTGCAAGTACGCAAGGATGAGCCGCGAAAAGAATGATATAATAAAAAAAATTCTAAGAGAGTAATATGATAATTCATGAATGAAGTGCAAGTTGAATTAATCATAAATGTTTATAATTATTTTTCCAAAAACAAGAAAACAGTCATAATTTGAATAATTCTTGTTTTACAAAATTGTATATAATTTAATAACTGAAGCTTGATAGTATATGGAAAACAATTAAATTAATTTGATATTTTAAGTGATAATTAATAAATTAAAAAAAATTATAATAATAATAACTACAAAATTTTATAATAAAAATAATTTAGAAAAAAATGAGAATGAAGAAACACTGTAAGATATAAAAGATAAAGTAATTAGAGTAAAAAATTAAGATTGATAACTTGTAATTAATATAATTTTAGGCAATTAAAGTAATTTATACAACATTGTTATACAAGAAAACTATTCAGTATCAGAATTTTTAATCATATTTTAGTCTTTTTAAATACATTCTAAAAATGATATCTATAATATTATATGATTTTTACAATTTTTGTGATGTTTAAGTGACTAGATTTTAAATTGATTTATTTAATTGGCAAATAAAAAATGTCATACTTTATCAGTCTAAATTTGTTTTTAGGCTCATCCTTATACTAACAGCTAACTTAAATATCTATCTTAACAGTTTTATAATGTTTAAAAGTTTTTTTTTCAACTTTTAAATGTAAGATTCTTACATATAGAAAGTGATAATAAATGAAGAAATAAAAATAAATTTATTTAAATATTAACACAGTCAAATGTTATCATTATTATGTTTAGGAAACCCATACATTAAGGAACCAATTTTATATTTATTATGTGTGGTCAAACACTTCATGATACCAAGTGCTAGGACGGTAAAATACTACGAACTGCTTCATCTGTTGCTGGATCACTGCGCTGTAAATTTAAAATACTGTCTATGGCATTTTGCACTTGGGCATTTATTTCTTCATCATCAGGACACTGACGTTTATTATATTCTGTTAATGTTTGTTCTTCATCAACAGGATGTTCTCTTTTTTTAGATAGTTGTTCATCAGTACAGCCTAGAATAAAACAAAACTATGAATAGAAATAACAAAATATTTTTTTAATTAAGATCTATATCTTAAGTCATTTTTTTTTCAACTAAAATAATAATATGAAAAATCGTTTTTTTTCAGAATTTTTCTTGACTAATATATTTTACCTCTTATAAGGTATAAAAATGTTTAGGAAATACTTATTTAATAATAAATTAAAATAAAAAACTCAATTACTTCATTGATCGGTTAGGTAAATGGATAGCTGGTAATTTATTACAGTACTGGTGATAGTTTATTATTTAAAGAAATACTAATGATATGCAATCTCATCCTCATTATGATATTCCTAGTCAACACACATTTACTAGAATTGTCTGAATTAAATATTAGTGAGACTGATACTATATTATTTATCACAGATCTTTGATTTTCAGCAGCCAATTCTGTTTTTATATATATTATAAATCATTAGATAACATCAAATTTTGAACTTCAAACATATTTATTTAGTAATCGATTTTTTTCTAGAAGATTTTGATATAATATTGTGTAACTAAATGTTTATTAGATCATAGCAGTAAAATGATCAATTTATATTGGAATCATTAGTTTGCTTTAAGTCCCTATTAGATATTATACACTTGTACCAACACTTCTTCAATCCTCAAAACACTTCTCAAACTCATTTAGCTCATGTGCTTTTAATGTCATCTATGCTTGTAAAACGACAGCTCTTTAAGGTTCTCTTTATATTTGGAAATAGAAAAAAAGTCACACGGAACTATGTCTGACGAATATGGAGGTTGGGGCATTGTTACAGTATTGTATTAAGCCAAAAATTCACAAACAAGCAATGAAGTGTGAGAAGATGTATTATCGTGGTGTAAAAATCATGAATTGTTTTGCCACAATTCCAGGCATTTTTTTAGATTGCTTCACATAAATGATGTTGAACTTGTAGGTAGTACTTCTTATTGACCTTATGGCAAGAATTCACAATGTACTATGCCATTAAAATCGAAGAACACAGTGAGCATATTCTTCACTTTCAATCACTCTTGTCGACCTTTTTTTGGTCTTGGCGATCTATTTAGAATGACTCCACTATAATGTTTAAGCCTTAGTTTAAATGTTAAACTATAGTTCATACGTGTTATAACAAGTTTCAATAATTTTGCATCGACGTTGACTTCATTGAGTGACTCCTGAGCAACTTCCATTCGCGTTTTTGTTCAAAATTCAACAATTTTGGAACAAATTTTGCTGTTATACGTTTCATACCAAAAATATTCGAAAAATTTTATGGCATAAGCCAATTGATATTACAAGATCATCAGTGACTTTCTAATTGTGATTCGCGATCGTTCATAATCATTTATTTTACTTTTTCCACGTTTTTATGGGTTGTTGATGTGAAGCTGTTTACTAATATTTCTGAATGGGGGTTTTAATAGATCATGTGAAGGCACTATGTTATCATATTATTGCTTCAAAAATGAGCTTTTATAATTTTATTTTATTAATTTAGACTCTTTATTTTTTGTTTATCATAGGTATTTATTTTATTTTATATAGACTTATTTATATATAGTGATACACATGCTTTACTTGAACAATGGTTGGAAAAAGTTTATTATATTAATCCTGTTATCATCAAATTTATGAAATAATTTTAAACTGTTTCTAATTACAAATTCTGTTCAACATCTGGGCCAAAAATTACATTATTTCAATAATTTCAATTAGTGTGACCAAAGCTTTAATCATTTTAAATCATTTAATGATTGGTGTATATATGTCTTTCATGAAGTAAATTTTAATATTTTAAACATTGTGTGATTATTGAAATAAAAAAGAAGTAATTTTAATTATTAGCTATATATCAAAGAAAAAAAAAACCTATCACAAAACCGTTATAAAATAACGTTTGAATAAATATGAAAAGTAAAGGACAAGTAAACTTGAACGATATACAATTTCAGACAGATGGAAAATACCAATTTATTATGACTAATCTAGACTACTAAAAAGTAGTTTTGTTTAAAAAAAATATTTTTGCTACATAAGAAAAACAGTTTGGCTTATGTTATTTTAGCCATAATTATATGATTAAAAACTTAATTTTCAATATTAGATCTTGTTAATGTAACTTAAAACTCATTTAAAAATGTATTTTAAAAAAATGAATTTTGAAACTTACTTATAGCTACACTAGTTGAAGAAACTGATGCAGTATTTGATTGTTTTAATTGCTGCAACTGCCCAGACTCGTCAGCACTAATTATTCGCCCCAACATTATCAATTCAGAAGTTTGAACTTCTCGCTGTTCATTTATTTATTAAGTATTAACATAAAATAAAAATTATAAATTAGGTTTTTAATATATGAATTTTTATATTTTAACTATTTAATGACTTGGTTCAATTCTATTTAAAAAATAATTTTACTCTCTAGAGACATACATAATTCTAGTGCAAGATTTTTAATAGCAAAAAAAAAAAAAGAAAACTATTTTTCAGTTTTTGGTTTCTATGTGAAACTGAGAAGGTATTAATTTTGTGATAGTGTATGTTTTTTTTAAAATTTATCCATAAAAATTCTCAACTCTTACTAGACCAATTTTAATAATAAATAAGTCAAAAGTCTAGTTAAATCTATCACTGCCAAAAAATAGAAAAAAATTCCCTAAATTAAAAAAAATTAGATAAATATCTCAAAACTACGCTATTATAAAAAAAAAATACAATTTTCAACATTTTTTTTTTTTCATTTTAAAATCGTTAAAACAATGATAATACTGATCCAAATGAAATTTTAATAGAGTATACTAAAGACAACAAGCTTACTTTTGGTATACTATGTATGAAAGTACAAAAAGGGTTTGAAAGAAATCACCTATGTGTATAGAAAAACCTCAGATGAGGTTGTGGCATAGTTGGGATAAATATAGATAATATTTGATAGTGATTGACATTACTATCATAAAAAACAACGTTTCAATGCGAATTTATTAAATTTCTCAATAATTAGTATAATTTTAATTTTACAATACCGTAACAAGTTGCCAACAAATTTGAATTACTATTAATATTGTCAATAGTATCTGTTTATTAGTTAGGTAAATTATAACAAAAGTACAATAAAAAAATTAGAAAAAAAAAAAAAGACAAAACAATTTAACTTTATAGTTGGAACCTCTTATATGTCCACAATGTATACTTTATATACATTATAAATAAATTATTTCATTGGATTATATGAAGATCAATTTTATTAAATTGAGTAATTTTGTGAAATTATCATTTGTTTGACCATTAGGGTGGCCCTCAAAAATCGATTGTCTTTTTTTTTTTTACGCTACATCTTAATTTTTTTTTAATGGTCAAAAAAATGAGCTGTGCAAAATTTGGGACCGATCCGTTAAAGTTAACCCGTGCCCCCGGGCCTATTAAGTTGAGTCGAAGAGTATTTATATGACACAAATTATGTCAGTTGTCGAAAATAACTCAAATATACTTATCTTTAATAATAATATAATTGGTACTATCTTAGAGTAATTCAGTAAACCAAAATTGATATATTGATACGACGAAATGTAATAATACAATCAATTTTGTTAAATTTGTAATTAGTCATTAATTAACTGTCCATAAAATAATAAATCTAATATAATTATCGTACTTGGCATAAAAAATTAAACTTCTAGAATCTTTTTTTAAACGAATATGCGTTTTCCAAAAAATAAAATGAAAATAAATAATTAAAAATCAACAAAATCAGTTATAACGTATTTTAAGACTTTCACATGTTTTTTACTGTATGTAGTGTTTTTGTGGGCTATTTATTGAGAAAACAACATTGAAGTTATTATTTTTGAATTTCTTGTAAAATTTCCTTTACTTGAGTTTTACTTTTATAATTCTAAGTTAAGAGAAAAAAAAGTTACGAGACATAGATCAGTTATTTCTATTAAATTTGACTCTTTGACTCAACTTAATAGGCCCGGGGGCACGGATTAACTTTAAAAGGATCGGTCCCAAATTTTGCACAGCTCATTTTTTTGACCATTAAAAAAAAATTAAGGGGTAGCGTAAAAAAAAAAAAGACAATCGATTTTTGAGGGTCACCCTATTGACCATGTTTGCTATGAATAAACAAACAGGTTTAAGAGTTTTATATTCTTAGTATAAAAACATTTTATCTCTTAATTTTTCTAGGAATTGGATAATTGAAATAATATATTTTTGCTTAATAAGTGTTATAAAAATAATAAATTATATATATTCCATACATATTTTTAAATTATACAGCTCTATCAAAACACATTGTATAACAACGAAAATAGTTCTGAGTTATCAGTAGTTAATTCTAATGCTAAAAACGTACCTAAAACTAATAGATTTTTATAACCATCGGGTATATATAATTTATTATGCTTTCACTTTTATGAATGAGATGAATTTCAACCATAATTTTAATACTGATGTTTGTAGAGATGACTTAAAAAAAAATATTAAAAAATTCAGGCAACACACATAACAAGCAAATGTCTGTGTAGTCAAAGGGAAGTAGAAATATAGTGGTAAGTGTATTAAATGGGTTTTTTGTATTTTATATTCCTGTAGGATAGTAATTGATTGTTTAGCAGAAGAGTACAAGAAAAACAATTACAGAAATTTTCAATGCATATTGTGTGATAAATCAAATAATAAAACAAGTCTTTTATATTTAAGTGAAATTTTAAAACAGCAATTGTAAAGTAACAAATATACAAATTACTGTGAAATTTAATACATTCACATTTAAGGGTATTTTATGATAGTGATATTAACCACTGTCAGATATCATTTATATATGTTCCAACTATGCTACAAGCGTAATTCCCTCTCAAAATCACTGTGTTGTGTTTTTCTATACATATAACAAAACATAATAAATGGAAATTAAAGATTATACATACCATGCTTTCTTTTAATAAAAGATAACGGTATTTATTAAATAGTGATGCTTTTTTATCTAATAAATGTTTTGCAGTTGATTCAAATATTTCATCAGCCAACTCTAAATCTCTTTCGGATAATACAGCATCATTTAAACAATGATAACGTGCTAATCGTTTTACTGCATCACTTCTTGAACTAAAAGGTGTATTAACATCAGGATTGGTTGCTCCTAATTGATCTGCTTCTAACCTCTCTGAAATTCTAAATATATATATACATATATATAATATTACTAAAATATTTAAGGAATATAGCAACATTTTCTATATTATTATCATATTACAAAATCATAATGATACTTTATCACACAATATCATATTTTAGATATTATAATTAATATAAATTTGGCTTGAAGTGCTTAAGAATTTATCCATGTTTACAGTTGAGTCCGAAATTCAGAATTCAACTGTAAACATGAATACATCTTTAAGCACTTCAAGCAACAAGACAATCCATGAAAGCTTTAACATTCATAATATAGAATTATTATATAATTTGTATAACAATTTTAATATATAATGGTGTCAATTTTATTATATTTAAGATAAAATTTAGTTAATCTTGAATTTTTAACTATTATAAAATATTAATTATTAAAATTTTTTTAGATTAAACAATGATTTTTTTTTACACTTAATTTGTAAAATTTAATACCAAATAAAAAGTATATATTTTTATAAGCTTACAATGATATTCGCTTTGCAGCACTAAAAGTTGGGGGTACTGGAGAAGGTTCACAAGACGTCTGAGTTCCCACCTGAAAATAAATTTAGTTATAAAAATTATATTTAAATTTCATTTTATTTTTAAATTTCTCACTTGTACATGAAGGGGAGAAGTTGCTTTGTTGCTTGTTAATGGTGAGACAATAGATGAAGACTGAATTGTAAGTGGTGGTGATGTGGTGTGAGGTGGACTAGACATCATAGCACAAGGAGGAGGAACCAATCTCACAGGTGTAGACACCTAAAATAACATTAACAAAATATAGAATTACAGTAGGAGTGTTGAAATTATAATATCATTGTTTTACATAAGTGATTCCTTGTGAATTTTGTCCAGACAACGTAGGAACAATTTTACCACATTGTAAAATTTTTTGTTGTTCATTAAATAATTTTTGAAGAATCATTTGCTCATTATTTGTGCGAAACTTCTTAGCGCCCAATGCAGATATTTGATTTTGAATAGACTTCAAAAGCTAAGTTATTAAAAAAAAAAATAATAAAAAACTGACCAAATATAAGTATAACCAAGATTTAGAGTACATAGATTTTTTTTATTTACGATTTAAATAATTTTTTTTAATAGTAAAAAATAATATAATTATAAATAGTTAAATAATTTCTATGCATATTTAATTATGCTCAGCTATGCCTATGCTTAGAGCACAAACTTTGTGCAATAACAGAATCCTAACTCTATACAATTTCCTCAATAACAAAAATAAAATATATAATGTGCGAGTAAGATGGCCTAGCTTGAATATAGCTAAGCTTATGTTAGGCTTAGTTACCCTTATACAAGTTAGGTCTTATATAAGCTTACATAGGCTTCAATACTCACATATACCTTATTTAATAAAAATATAATAGGGTCAATCCATGCCAAATCATCCAGAAGAGGTGTTTGAATGACCACTTTATATTTTTCTTAAATTTTTAGGGTTTATTCTTTATGCTATATTTGGATTAAAACAAAAATTATTATTTCTTTTTTTATGACCTTCCCATTTTTATGGCTATTTAAGTGTAAAAAATGTTAAAAACGCCCAGAATATTAAAAAACACTTAATCAAATTAAAATTTTAGACTTGGAATTATTATAACATAAGTTTACATAAAAAAAAAAATTATGTGAAATTCTAAGTTTTAATGACTTTTTAAAAATAACGTTTTTTTTTTTTTTTTTTTGTGAAAATTAGCATAATTGAGCTCAATTAAAACCATTAAGAAGTTATCATTTTATAGTGATTTTCAAATGAGGTATTGTATAGTGTATAATCTATGTTTTAACTAAATATTTAAAACAATTTTCTTAGAATTTAGAGGCCTACAAAGTTAGAAATTTTAAAAATACACGTAATCTAGGTGCTATATTTCTGTTAGGGGACGTAATTTCAAAAAAATTTTTTTTAAATTTTTTAGATAGATAAATCTTGTATATAAACCATAAAAATTTTAAATTCGAGAAAAAGGTACAACATGTAAAATTTAGCATTAGAAAATCAGTAAAACTCCCCTCAAAATCAAATAATTTAATAATAGCTATTATAAAAACTATAGTTTTTTTTTCAAACCACATTTTTGTAATTGTTTTATTTATTATTGTAAATGTAATATATTGTGATTCAATATAATTATTATATATGTTATAATTATTCAATTCATTATTTTAGTTTCAAAATAAAAAAATTAATTAATTAAATTATTATGATAATATTGTAAAATATTTTAATAAATAATCATGGTTTTATTCTATTAGTAGTAGAATATTGTCTTCATAAATATCAGTTAATGATATCTTAAGGCTTCTTATGGTATTGTTATTAGTTGGTAAGAATATGTTTTTCCCTATTTCTGAGAATAGTTTTACACAATTTAAATCTCATATTTGGTGTTTTTTGTTTTGTTGTACTTCTGAGGTGTGCATATTTATGTATTTTATCCCTTTAATTTTTTCATCGTAAAATTAAAGCATAATTAGTCATCACATGGAACATAATAAAGTTTCTGTTCTTACATTTTAAAATCTCCTTATACAAGATAATTGTGTAAAACTAATCTCGGGAATAAGGAAAAACACAGATTTTTACCAACTAATAACAGTACTATAAGAAGCCTTAAGATATCATTAATTGATATTTATGAAGACACATTATTCTACTACTAATAGATTAAAACTATGATTATTTATTAAAATATTTTACAATATTATCATAATAATTTAATTAATTAATTTTTTATTTTGCAACTAAAATAATGAATTGAATAACTATAACATATATAATAATTATATTGAAGAAAAATACAAGGTTGTCGTGCAACCACTTGGATGATTTGGTATGGATTGACCTAATAGTAATACATACTTGTTGTTTTTGAGGCGTCAGCTGAATAGTTTTTACTCTCTGGTTAGAAATACTGCTTTCTGGTGAATTTAATGGAATAGGTGTACTACACTGCTCTTTTTCTTTTTCATCGCATTGAAATACCATTGGTTTTACAACAGCTGCTCGTTTCACTTTTCTGGGTTTAATTGGTGTTTTATTAGCACATGGTGGTACAACCATTGTTTTGTTAATCAATATATTTGGATGGGATTGAGCTATACTATCTAGAAATGCATTTTGAGATTGAACTTCTGGTGGAATTGATGATTTTGGACTATTAGGTTGAAATGTTTTTGATGAAATTGCTACTGGGCTTTTATTATGAGGCCTATTAACTACAGACGTTTGGTAATTAGTTAACACCATGTGGTTTTCATTTGACTGTGATATTACAGCAGCACATGGTTTTGAAAACTGCATGTGAGTTTGTTGAGGAGAAGTAACAATAGTTAAATTAGGTCGATTTGGCAACATTGGTGTAAATGACTGGGGAACATTTGGTGAAGGTATTGGAGAATTGTACGAGGCAGGACTTTTAGAATTGCTTCTTGAAGTATGGGACATAGCTGGGCTACACTGAGGGCTTATCACAGATTGTATGCTTCTAGGACTATGAGTAGATACTGGTACAGTTTTAGATCTAGATACTGAAGTTTGCATTAGTCTTTCAGATGTATGTATTATAGGAGGTTGATTTTGAATTTCTACATTTTTATTTAATGTTGATGAATTTGTGACTATTTGCAATCGATTTTGTTCTTCATTATACACAATATCATTATTAGAAGAAGTATCATTGTTAGCAACAAGTACTCTGCTATCCAACAGATTTGATACAAGTTGAATGCTACTACTTTGTTGGTGATCTAAGCTTGATACCATTGTACTACTACTATGCATGACTCGGATACTGTTATTTTGCTGCATAACTTTGCTTTGTTGGTCATCAACTGGTGTTGACATAACAAATTGTTGATGATTTTGCCGATTTTCTACATTAACAGGAGTACCAGTTGTTGGAAACATTAAATGTTGTCCATTTAAAATATTTTGCTGCAACGACTGAGGTTCTAACACAGTTACAATTTGTAAACGACCAGAAACATCAGCTAAAATACGAACTCCAGAACCATTTTGAGGCTGTGGAGGTAACATTGTATTTCCACTTTTTAGAAGCAATGATTCAGCACCTGAAACACTTAATACAGCATTTTGAAGTATATGGCCACCATGATCAGCTACTAACTGGGCTAATTGAGTTTGGGCTGCAGCTGCAACACTAGCAGAAACACTCTGTAAATAAATTAAAATTAAAATCTGTTATAAATATATGCTCAATAAAAATATGCTTAACTAGATCATTTATTCAAGAAATAACTACTTAGATCATGAAATAATTTTACCTGTGTCAAAGTGTTGGTAGTAATTTGTGGTTGATGTACTATCATTCGTCCATCTTCTCCTAAAGATAAACGAAAACCACCCTATATTGGAAAAAATAAAAATGCTATAGCTGAAATACAATTTTAAAGAATAGGAATTTAAACCTGAGATGAAGATGTAGGAGTATGAATTTGAGCTAATAAAGGAGTATTCTGTTGAATGTTTTGGTTAGGTGGAGGTGTTGATGTTTGTTGCAATTTATTTGTTTGGTTGATTTGAGATTGTTGAATCATAGGAGCTATTGAATCTTCTTCATCGATACCTATTAAATAAAAATCAAGATAAAAATAGATTATAATAATATAAACACAATTTGTAATTAATAATTTATATTTACCAGAAAGCTTAATAAGATTTGCTAAATCTAATCTTACTGGTTCATCATCGTGTGGCCTAGACTGAATCTTAGGTTTTTTCTTTTTTATATTCATAGAACGATTATTTGATAATGGAGGGGTAATAGTAGAAGGAGGTGTGGTTGCTGGTAATGCAACTAATGCAGGACCGGAACATGTTTGAATTTGCTGCAGTTGAACACTTTGACCACTTACTAATCTAACAACCTAATTTTAAATGACCCAAAAATCATTAATATATTGAAAATGATTAATAAATATCCTAAATACTTGATTTGACTGTTGTCTTGGCTGTTGAAGTAATATTTGAGTACCGTTACATGTTACTTGCTGACTGTTTGTTTGTTGTGTATTAGGAGAACGAAGAATTAGTTGAAGACCTCCAGTAGCCTGAGGTCCAACTAAAACACCAGCAGTAGGCATAATCTAATGACAAAACATAATAAAGTTAATATTAAAATGAAAAAATTAACAAATCATAGATTCAACATGAAAGTAATAGATGAAAACTATAATAATTACTTTTACGGCTTAAACGCATTTTACCACCCCATCGAGATTTTTCAAATTTTTTTTTTTTAAATCAATTTAGTTTTTCATAACGACTAAGAATATATAAAAATTTTTTGTCGGCGAAGTCTAGTTTAAAAGTTATGAGCTTTCAAAGATTTCAATAATCATATACAAATTTTGTTATATACTGCTGTTTTTTTTTGATAATTTTCATTAATTAACTATAAAAAGTATTCTCGATGATGTAGTTACCGAGGAATAGTAAATTTAAGAGTATTTATGAGTACATTAAACGTGTTAAGGTAGTGTTGAAGTAAATAAATTTAATTTTTTTTTGAATTTTTTTCAATATTATATCACCATTTTAACATCAAGGTTTTATACTTGTTGGGTCACTGAGAATTTCAGTCGAATGGGTTTAAATAGGTTGGGTTTGGGCTTGACTTCTATCCTCTGGGGGTTTGGGGGCGTGAGCCCCCATCCCATGAGAGTCCCGAAGGGGCTCGAATCGGTCACCGGAGCCGGCAGGCGTAGGTGACCACAACTTATATTTAAATGGGTTTGTATAACTCAACATTATAACATTAAGATATTAGTAAGTATATTTTGATACCTCAACAACTTAACTAATATCAACAATATCTAATGTAATAGTATTTTTTTTTTGTTTACAACAAGTGTTAATTGGTGTACATAATAAACAGTAAAAACTTTTATTTTATTGAATTAACAATTCTATGTAAAACACCACATCGTGGTTTTTTTTTTTTTTTTGCTCAAATTGAATTAATTGAGTTTCTTGTTATTTTTATTTCGTATTGCGTTAATTTGATGTGCGTAGTTTTGAAAAAAAAATTTGGAAAATCCTTATTTTTAAAGATAATTTTGGTTGTAGGATTTTTAGAATGAGGATATTATGTAATAATTACGTCATTATAGTTTCACAATAGTATCATGAGAAAAAATCCCAAAAATTAACAAAAATAAAAACAATTTTTGAGCTATTTTTAGTTTTTGGCGTTTCAACTANATAATTACGTCATTATAGTTTCACAATAGTATCATGAGAAAAAATCCCAAAAATTAACAAAAATAAAAACAATTTTTGAGCTAATTTTAGTTTTTGGCGTTTCAACTATAAAAAGCTATAACTTTTGAACCAATTTTTTCAAACACTTTTGAAAAAAGCATTGAAAAATACACGTTTAAAAAAAAAAAAAAAATTAAAAAACTCGATGGGGTGGTAAAATGCATTTGTTCCATTTTTACTTACTTGATTTATTAAAAAAGCACCTTGTTGACTATGTATTGAAGTTGAATGATGTGACTGATGTGTTTTTATGCTATTAATATTAGTATGATTCTGTACATTATTGCTACCTATTGGTTTAGGCAATATTTGGGGCGGTGGTTTACTTTTAACTTGTATATTATTTACATTATTTCGGCTATTTGGCTGAATAAACTGTAAAACTGGTCCATTAGCACTCATCACCTATACTCATATAAACAAATTATGCATATTAAAAATAAGTTCAGTTGGTATTGATGGAACGGTTTTAAAATTTTAGTTAATTATACAAGTATAAAAGATTCTAACCTGATGAATGACTTGAGGCTGAGGTGTAATAACCCTTTGTTGAGGAGACGGTGTAAGTGATCGAGAAGAAAATGGTGACCCAGGTGAAGGTGGTATACATTTAGAATTTGTAGTGTCCAATATGGCAGTAGCCTGTTGTTGTTGAACCATTGTACCAGAAGTGTGCTGTTGGGCACCCATCTATATTTAAATTAAAATAAATATAAATGTATTTGACATTTAGTTCCTACAAATTATGGTAGGAAATTTTTTTATTTTAATTAATAATTTAACCTAAAAATATAACTATAAAACATACAAAATACGATTTTAAGTTTTAAGAAATGTACCATAAATATATTATCAAATTATAATTGAAAAGCTTGTTCAAATAACTAAATATCTAATTCTTTTTTTTGAATAGTAGTTATAAAAATGAACTGCTTTATATAAAGATCTAAAAAAATTGATATGCCAGACAATTTTCTTTTATATGTACAAGTTGTTGATCGATTTAACGTTGACCACTAGATTTCTTCTAAAACAATAATAATTTTGACATTCTTTTTGCCTTATTTAAGTAGCATTTATTTCTTGAATTTTAATTGAATTAAATTTTAAAATACATTATACTTCCACTTATTATTTCTATTAAGGATACTAACTTAATTTTATTAATTGGCAACTTATATATTTAACTAATAAATATTCCAACAAACGAAATGACTGGTCGATAACAACTTTTGAACCAGTAGCTCAGAAGTTATGAATATATCTATTCCTATTAATTTTTATTGTTGGGTAGAAGGAGTAGCATGAAAGAGAAATGCAGAATTATATAAACAACATAACCTGCACCTCATTACCAGGCTACATTTAAAAATGTTAATAACTTAAGAAATATTGGTTTTAAAGATTTTATTGATCAGTCATCTTTTTAGTTATTTTTTATTATATGAACTAGTTAAAAAGATATATTGCCATTAAAAAATATTAAATTGTACTCTCATAAGGGATAGATCTATATAATATTTATCCACTTTTAATTGGAATATAAATAATACTATAGTATGATAAATTTTTTTTTCAAAACTATTATTATTTTGAGAGAAATTTAGTAATCAATCTTATTTATAAATATTTTCTTTATATAATTTATACTCATACTTTTTTTTTAAATTAAACTATATAAGAAAATCTCTCTTTTTATATTTAAACACTATTAGAAAAATAAGTGTTTATGATAAAATTTAAATATGTTGAAAATAGTTTTTTTGAGTATATTTTTTCAGATTAAATAATCATTTCATTCAAAAAGAAACTTTAAATAATACAAATTTAATTAATTCATCATTTTAAAATAATACAATATGAAAATTTTGGGAAAAGGTAATAGATACGAGAATAAGAAATGAGACATGGGTATCTAAAAACCAGTTTGGATTTATGTCTGGTAAGTTAACAATGGAGCCAGTATTTTGTGTGAGGCAACTAATAGAAAAGTTTAAGGAAAAGAAGAAAAAGCTGTGTATGGTATTTGGTATTTGGAGAAAGCGTATGATAGTCCTGAAAAGGTATATTAATATAATAGAAGATATGTATGATGGCACTTGTACCAGGGTAAAAAGCGTAGGAGTAACAGAAGGTTTTTGGGTAAGAGTAGGAGTGTATCAAGGTTCTGCTTTAAGCCATTACTTATTCTCTATAGTGATGGATGAAATTGCTAGAGAAATACAAAGGGAGGTGCCGTGGTGCATGTTGTTTGCTAACGATATAGTGTTATTGGAGAAAATAGGGAGGAAATTAATCAAAGGCTAGAGGTGTGGAGAAGTAGAGCATAGAATGAGTGTAGCAGAGTTGAGAATGCTTAGATGGATGAGTGGAGTGACTAGTAAAGATAGGATAAGGAATGATTTTTTTATAGCTTACATACCTGTCGTATGCTTGTTGAATGGAGAATATTTGAATGTTGAACATGTTGATGAAGTACTTGTTGAATGCTTGTATGTTGATGTAATGTAGCAGCTTGTTGTGAACTTCCAGAAGGAAAAGATGATAATCCTTGTCCTTGAGAACTTGCCAAAACTAGTTGCGGAGTCCCTGAGAGCACTCCGTTAGTTCCTGTACCCTTTAAAATGGTTAGTTTAACAACAATTAATTATTATTTAAATTAATTAAATGATGAAAAAAAACAAATAAATTATTTAACTTACTGAAGTTTGATGGTGTAAAGTAAGAGTCAATTGCCCCCCAGTAGCAGCCTGTTCTTGCTGTGCTTGAATATGCTGTAATTGTTGATACTATAAGTAAAATAAATAGAATGAATACAATTAAAAATCAAATAATTTATAATGTAATGAAAAAACCTGATGATGAGTAAGAACTAGAGAGCTGGCAGGGCGGCCGTCTAATAGGCCCTGTGGTATAGAATCCACGGTGCCTTCCAGTCTGCAGCATACACCATACATTCAATTACGTTTTATCCACCTAAAAAGAAAACATATTTTTCTCATTTAAAGATGTTCTCAATCAATACTTTATAAAATAATTATCGAAAACTCAGAACTAAATATGTCTTACAAATAGTATTGCAATACTAAAAAATTAATTTGAAAACAATTAAATTATAAATAAACTAATAAACCAGTTTGATTGTTTTCTTTAAAAGTTAAAATTTGTAAACTAATATCATCAAAACTCAAGTTGGAATTTTGAATGATTAATAAATCACAAATTATTAAAACTAGTGTCTATAAACCAATAATATATTAGTAAAATACAACGTAAAGTTCTGATCAGAGTAATACATATGTCATCCATAATATAAAATAATAATTAACATTGACATTTATAATTATTTTATCCTAAAGGGTCCTAGATTCATTTTGTTATATTAAATTTTTTTTAAATTACTGTTTAATCTAGTTGTGTTTTTACTATTGGATATTATTTGAAGAATATAAGATTATTTTTGGCTAAAACGGAAATTTTCTTTTATAGAAACAAAAAGCAAGCAGATAAGGGTTGAAACACAAAATATAAAAAGATTGTAAACACAGATAATGAAGTAGAAAATGAATTAAATTTAAAAACAAAACTTCTAAAAGTATTATGTGCGCCTAAGTACAAGTGTGGGAATGCGCAAAATTATCAAGGACAAATGGATACCGGAAAAAAAGTTACAATCGACAAATAAGCATGATTTAGCCGAATATCTGGTTATGTCATATATTTCGTTAGCATCTTACTGCTGACAAGACAAGTATTAACAAAAATAATGCTATTTAACTGCATACAATCTAACAATAACAATAAAACAAAACGATATTGAGAGAACATTATCAAAAATTCAAAAAATCAACACTAACGACAAAACAAATATACGGAAACCAAAACCGATAAAGTAATTGTGCAAATTATTTTCATCGTTTTATTTTAAATAAAAGGTTATTATGTATAGATTCTATAGAAAAACAAACAAAACATTTAAAAATAAAACGTTCATTCAATGAATAGACATGAATCAAGAGATTGGATGGACAACACTTTTGCGGCGCTGTGATAACCACTGATCAACACTTAACACACACCGGAAAAAACGCACACTTACCGTTTCGCAAAACGCCAGCAGGGTCCGGCGGGCCGATTCCGTTACATAATAATAACAATGATTAATGCGAACACGGGACGCACAATAAACACGGTCGACGACGATAATTAACACCGCGGCGGCCGATAACATAACATTATTTTTGCGTAAACACAATAAACAACACGGCGGCAAACGACGACAACGATAGGTATTTCGGGTCTACCACTATTATCCTCCACCGACGGCACACGGCCACATAATTGATGAACGAGTGTATGTGCGTGCGTGCGCGCGCCCAGTGTATGCGACCGGCTATGTATACAGGATGTTCAGTAAGTCAGGAAACGGGTTTCTATTGTTCTCATTGTTACAAACAATGAGAACAATAGAAACCCGTTTCCTGACTTATTGAACACCCTGTATATAAGTGTCAGTGTGTGCATGTGTTTGTGTACACAAACAACAAAAATCGAACGGCCATTTTATTGTTTTGCAAACGACGACAACGCACGAAAGGATAAACTTGCTGATGCCGCCGCTGTTGCTACAGATCGGTCTTCTATATAACATCAGTGTTGCCAAAACAGTTTAAAATCATCCGATTACGGATAATTTGTCACTGTACTTCGTAGTCTTCACTATCGAAATGATTATTCGACAGTTCACCTATTACCATATAACGTGTGTACGGCTAAGATACCACCAGGTTCAAGTGCCGCGTAGTAAACATAGTTTAGAGTACCTCTATCAAAAATATTTGCCGGCAACAGCATTATCACTGTAATTAATGATGCAGTAATCAATTCATATTTTCAATAACTAAATATTTATCATCGCGGCTTTTTAAAAGTAACTAAAAATGTTTAATTTTATATGAAATTACATAAACTTATATGTCAATTTAATTAAAAATTTGTAACATAATTATTGTAGACTACTAAAGTATTTAAAAACAAAATTCAAAACTATTTTATTTTAGTGACGCTATAGAATAAAAAAAAAATACGTTTGGAATTAAATCTTTGTTTCTAACGCAGTGTCATTGCACTCGAGATAACTATTAAAATTATGTTTTATTTAAATACTAATAAAGTAAACTTTAAATGTTACACTTTTGTTACCCGAAAATCATTTGGGAGCTTAATCAAATATTTTCTATAACACTTTATCGAAATTATATTATTACATGTAAACTCCTAGGTCGAATTAATTAAGCCAACTATTTTCAAAATTTTACCATGTGTGTTCTCTGGCTCGAATACCAAACATTTCAAGTAATCGCGAGTAGTGAACAATCTCCACTACTAATTTATAAAATATTTATCAATACGTAACACCTTTTTCCTTATCAAATTATACACTTATATTTTAAATAATTACTAACATAAATAAATACTGAAATTTAACGACGGAGTAAGATTTAGCTTTTAAATTTACCGTTCATATCCAGATAAGATATTCATTCATATAGACAGAAATGTTTACATTTGTGTAAAATTAGTTTTTATTATTTATAGTCGGACGGAGAGTAACGCTGAATAGATTTTATAATTCTAACAGGTTGGGGAGGTTTTATTGAATTAGTATTGCAGAGCGGTACGGGTGATTCTGTGTGGTCATTGTTGTCTATGTCAGAATTTTTACCTACGGCAGATAAGGAGCCAACTGTTTTGTTTAATGGCCAAATTTGGTCATCGTTTCTTGCCTATGTAGGACCTTGATCTAATGTAACTTTGTGTGTTTTATCACTTATGTTTTCAGTGACAGTAGCTTTTTGTCAGTTTTCTCCTATGTTTCTATAATCTTTTACAAGTACACAATCATTCTCTTTTACGTTTGTTTTTATTCCACACATATTTTGTTTGAGAGATATGTTTATCTACTACTACATCATTAGTGCTGGGTATTAGTAAATCAAATATTGTTCTAGTCGAATGTCCTAACATTACCCTAGCCGACATCATCTCGTGTGTTGTTGTATGCGGTGTATTTCTATCCATCAGCAAAAATTTCTTTAACTGGTTTATAGAGAACGAACATTTATTAAGAATTATTTAACAATTTTGACACCTGATTTAGCGCAACTGTGAAAATTTAGTAATGACAATTTCCGCAGTCGTAGAATTATTCGGAAATGCCTCTAACCATTTTAAAGTTGCGCCTACGAATATCAAATATTTTTATTTTTATGCGGATCTAAATAATCACAATGCACCCTGGTCCACGGCCTTTGGGGCCATCTCCATGGAGGGATTGTTGTTTTCGGTAGATTTGGCCTAGCGTCTGTACATTTATAACAATCACGAACCATATTTTCATTGTCCTTGTCAATTGTTGGCCACCAAAAATATAATCTTGCCAATGCTTTCACGTTGATCATACTTTGTGCCACAAATGAAATTCAGCTAGGATATGTTTTTGAAAATTTTGCAGAATTATTACACAATAGCTTCACAATAAACATCCTTGTTCCAAAGATATTTCATTTTTACGAGTGACATACGGTTTTAGCTCGTTGTAAAATGTAAAATCGTTTTTTCATTTGCTTGTTTTTGTCACGTGTAGGACTTTTGACGCAATTTGATCTTTATTTGTTTCAATTTCAATTTTAGACCCGTCTAATAGGAATGGTGAATTTTCACGAATAAAATTTAAATGAATGCTATCGCTATCTTCCCTGTTATAGATATTGGAATGATCATTTGTAATTTTCGAAAGAAAATCAGCTATATTTTTTTCCAAATTAATGTACCTTATATCAAAATAAAATGATAATAAAACATATGCCCATCGTTGTAAACGATTTGCTGCGTATATTGGAATACCTTTTTTTATCTCCGAATATGTGTGTCAATAGTTTATGATCGCTAATTAAAGTAAATTGTTTCGCATAGAGAAAGAAAATCATAGAACTTTTGAATACCGAATATTATAGCTAGTCCTTCTTTTTCTATTTGTGGAAACTTACACTAGGCATCAGATAGTATTCGTGATGCAAAAGTTACTGATTTTTCAGAATTATTAGAATACACATGTGATAAGACTGCACCCAGTACATATGAAGAAGAGTCTACTATTAGTTCAAGTAGTAATTTTTGATCATACTGTGCTAATATGGACCTTGAAATAAAAATTGTTTAATTTTTTATATGCATCGTCACAATATGATGACTTGTGCAATTTTATGTCATTGCACAGAAGCGTGTATTATGGTTTTAATATTTAAGCTGTGTTTGGAATAAATTTCATGTAATACGTTATTAAACCTAAAAACGATTTTAATGTCAATTTATTTTTCGGAACAACTGCGTTTTGTTGTGTTTTGTTAAAGTATGTTAACCTTTTTCATCTATTTTATGACCCAAATATTCAATGGATTTTTGTAAAAACTTACATTTCTTTAATTTTACTATCAAACCGCAATTATGTAAAACAATCAATAATTTACCTAATTTTATGTTGTGTTCTTGAATTGTGCTACCTACCACTACCATGTCATCTTAAAATACCCCAATATTATAAATTCCTGCTGTGGAAATTCCCAGAACTTTTTGGAATTTATACGCTGAAGATTTTATCCCAAGCAGACTTCTAGTATAATAGAAGAGACCTTTGTGTGTATTTATTGTGGTTAACTTACAATCCGATTCTTTAATAACCATTTGTTGGTAGGAGTATTTGAGATCTATAAAATATTTGGAACCACTTATATTTACATATAATTTTCAATTTTGGGTAGGGAATATTCTGTACCTTAACACTGCATGTATCGTAATTTTAATATCACCAGATTCTAATTGTACTGACGGATTTTAGTATTGGAGCTATTGGTGTTGGAGCTATTACTGCAATTAAGCGGAACTAGTATTTTGCTTTTAAGTAAACGATCGATTTTCGTTTCTACCTTATTTTTAAAAGCTACTGGAATTCATCTCGGTTCAAAAAAAATTTGAAAACGAATATTTTGTTATATTGAGTGAAATTTCATATTTGTTAAAAGTGCCTATTTCGTCTTTAAATAGATCTTCATATGAGTTTAATATGTCATTATCTTTGTTCACATTATTATAAATGGGTGAATAATTAATTTTGTTTAAGTCATTTCTGCTTATTAGTGGAGGCCTACTCTTTTAACATATGCATATATTTTAAATTATTTTTCTAAATATTTCACATTTACGTCTATTTTTTCTATTAAATATGTGTTATTTCCGAAATTATCAGAGAGGGAAATATTATTGTCTAACATAGTGCTATTACTGAAAAGAGCAGAATACGTTTTCAGCTTCGATGCGAAGCTTAGAGAGTATTAATTTTCCTATGATGTGTTTTTTTGTGTCTGTTGCCAATTTTTCTCAGCTCTCGCCAAACCGATTTCATTCAACGATACGTCAAAAGATCACAAATCGTATCTAGTTGAAGACATTACACTTGAAAATTGAAAACATTAGACTCGTTCCTCGTAAATGAGGGAAATCTTCAAAAAAATTACAATTTTAAAAATCGCTAATTTTCGAATATTTTTCGATTTTTTTTTCTTAAAACTGCTATAACTTTTTCAAAAATGACTATATCAATATAATTTATTTTACAGATGCATGATGTCTTTAAAAATTAAAAAAATACTGACACTTTTATATATACCTTAAATTAAAGCTAATGTAATACACTTTATTATGGAAAAAGAAAATTTCGGACTTTATTTAGTCTTCACGATTAAATTGGCTATCGTATGCTATTTTTGTGTTAAAATTTTTCATTTTTAATTTTTTGAAAAATGTATGAATCAATACAATTTTTTTAATATTGACCTTTCTCTTTCATTCGACATAATTTTTTTTAAATCGGACCATTTCCTTTTATACAAGGGGGTTCATAACTTAAAAATGCATATAGAAAGTAGAAATTTTTCAACTTAATTTTTGAAAGTGTTCTGGAAACACTGACACTATTATATATATATTAAATTAAAGCTTATGTAATATACTTTATTATGGAAAAAAAAATTTCGGACTTAATTTTGTTTTCATGATGAAAATGGACATCAAATTTAATAAAAAAAATACAATTTTTGTAAAGAAATTTTTTTTTATATTTTTAACTTTATAACTTTTTGAAAAATGTATGGATCATTATAATTGCTTTAAGATAAGTACTATTTATAATCTTTTTTTATGCAACATACTTTTTTTTAAATCTGACCATTTCCCTTTATATATAATAAATATATTGAATATGAGGCTTAAATTACTCTTAATTTTAAATATAAACGTATTTGACTGTATTTTATACGACTATAACTTATATCTCTCACAAGTAAAATATTTTAAAATAAATCAAATTTCACATAAAAATTAATCGATTTCTAGAATTCTTAAACATAGAAACTAACTATATACAAAAAAACTTATAATAACGTATATATAAAATAAACTACATATTTATACAATGGAAAATCTATAAAAATTGTCATATGGGTTAAAATTTTTTTGTTTATACTGTTTAAATTGTTACTACTTTCAGAACTTTCATTTCCTGAAACATTTCATAAAAATAAATTATTTATGCAATATGTATTTATAAAATTAAATAAAAAATCCAATTAAGAATTAATGTTATGTATAATTAAATACTAAATATCATTGGCTTAAAAACTGTACTCATAGTTTTAATTTTACTCATTTGCCAAATGTGATTTTCATGGAAATATTCACTTACTATTACCAGTATCAAACATAACAAGATAATTCTTTTTCTGTTCATTATATAATATTAATTTATGTTTAATATTAGAAATGAATTTCAAAAGTCATATATTAACAATCTTTAAGAAACTGTATAAATGTAAGAACTGAACTAAAATAAGATATTTTAATATAAAATGTTCTGGAATGACTGTGTTTCTTTACCCTATACCTAATTAAAAATCTTGAAACGTACTACAATATAAAAAAAAATTGTCCCCACAGTTTTTCTATGAAAAATAAGCCGTTAAAGTAAAAAATGTTCAATTTTTCCATTAAAAAAATTTATAATCAGTTATGCAAATATTCAACAAACATATAATATTTGTGCGAAATCTGAAAAAAAAAATTGTAAAATAACAAATATGTAATTTATTGTGAAATTTAATAAATTCGCATCAAAGTGTTTTTTATGATAGTAAGGATAATTATTGTTAGATGTCATCTATACTTGTCCCAACTTTTTTTATCAATAAATTAAAGAAATATTATTGAAATATTATTATTTATTAAAACATAAAAACAATTAAAATAAATTAATATATTTTTATAAAAAAAAAAAAACATATACAACACCTTTTCCTGCAAATTTTCGCTCATCAAAAGTTTTTCTTGCCTTTTTCAATTCTTCATTCATCATTAACAATTCTTTAACCCTTGCATTTTTTAAATTAAAATATGTTAGTTGATTATTCATACGTAACCTAATAATCAAACATAAATATTTGTTAAATTAATTAGAAGTATTTTGTTATTATTTAGGCCATATGCGAAACTCTAATTGCAGATTTAAAATCGGCATAAGAATGGGTTTAGAAAAGTATATTATGATCTCGGATGAAAATTCCTTATTTATAAATAACAAACAATTTTTTTTTTAAATATTGTAAGACCTTCAACTTTTATATACGTTTGCCATAAAAGTAATAACTACTCTATAATTTTTTATAATTTCTCCGTAAAAATTACATTACCAAATCATTAAGTATCAATTTCATACTATATTTAATTCTTATAATAAATATTTATACATAAATTACACTTATAAATCATAAAACTTGTAATCAGTATATAAATAAGGAAATAAGAAATCATGTTCTTTTAGAATAATCCACCAATTTTTAAAATTAAACACCACCTACAGATTTGCATTGAAACGTTTTTTATGATTGTAATTTCAATCACTGTCAAATATAATCTATACTTGTTCCAACTATCCTGTGTCTTTTTCAGACTTAACATTTACATTTTCTACAATTAAAGTAGTTGTAAAATGGCTAAATTTTATCTTGAGAATTAGTTTTTATCAAATTAAAAAATGTGTTAGATAAATTGTATGCAACTGATCGTCTATTGTCTCATTAAAATTTTCAGTTAAAAATTTAATGTATGAACGGTTATCATAATTTTTTCTAAAACTCTTACCATATTTCCACATAAGATTCAATGACCTTTTAAATTGCAGATGTTGTAGCTATAGTCATTGTATCGACAGTTTTTTTGTAAATGGTTTCAGCGGTCACATACTCCACACTTTATTTTATCCAATGTTTGACGATTGACTTGATTATTTTGGTGGAGTTGTTTTTGATAGTTGAGTACCGATTCACGAGCCTTACGCGTCATTGGCGCGTAAGGCTCTTCAGGCCGTCATCATAAGTAGGCTATTGATTCCGGTAAGAGTACCCAGCTACGTCGTTCACGGTAAGTGTTTTGCAGAAAATATTACATTAGAATCAGTGTGTCATATCTTAGGAATGTCATTGGACGGGTCCGGTGAAAATTTCAAACCTTAACTCGTAAAACGCTGGTGTCAGCGAGCGTTTTTCTCGAAAACGGTCGAAATTTTAAAACGTTTGCAGGTGAGCGGCAAAAATTTTCCGACCTTCGTCAATTATTTTCTCGGAGTCTGGTGATCGAGTACTTTCGTTAAAAAAATTTTTTTTGAAAATCCGAGCACGCTAAGTAATTTTTCCAGAAAAGCGTTTTTTTTCTTGTCTATTATATAATAAAATTTTACCGTATGAACTACGCTGTCTGTCGTCCATAACCCTTACATAAGATCGTAGCTCGCCGTCCCTGCACTCACACGATTGTGGGACTCGTTTATGATATATGTTTCAGCATATTGCTTGGACGACGCTGCCAAACACTGCTCGTGTGTGCATGCGTCCCTCATATACTCCTGATATCTGAGGGAAACAACTTAATTGTTCGTACACGACAAATGTATTATAACTATTTTACTATTTAAAAACTTACATTTATAATAAAAATGTAGAATTAAGAATATATAATTAATTTTCTTCTTTTAATTAACTTTAGTAGGGGGTGCGATCGTTCCGTCCTCCAAGTCGCGAACCGCCACTGAATACGAATGCAAGGGCACTATTTAAAAACTTACATTTATAATAAAAATGTAGAATTAAGAATATATAATTAATTTTCTTCTTTTAATTAACTTTAGTAGGGGGTGCGATCGTTCCGTCCTCCAAGTCGCGAACCGCCACTGAATACGAATGCAAGGGCACTATTTAAAAACTTACATTTATAATAAAAATGTAGAATTAAGAATATATAATTAATTTTCTTCTTTTAATTAACTTTAGTAGGGGGTGTGATCGTTCCGTCCTCCAAGTCGCGAACCGCCACTGAATACGAATGCAATTGCACTATTTAAAAACTTACATTTATAATAAAAATGTAGAATTAAGAATATATAATTAATTTTCTTCTTTTAATTAACTTTAGTAGGGGGTGCGATCGTTCCGTCCTCCAAGTCGCGAACCGCCACTGAATACGAATGCAAGGGCACTATTTAAAAACTTACATTTATAATAAAAATGTAGAATTAAGAATATATAATTAATTTTCTTCTTTTAATTAACTTTAGTAGGGGGTGCGATCGTTCCGTCCTCCAAGTCGCGAACCGCCACTGAATACGAATGCAAGGGCACTATTTAAAAACTTACATTTATAATAAAAATGTAGAATTAAGAATATATAATTAATTTTCTTCTTTTAATTAACTTTAGTAGGGGGTGCGATCGTTCCGTCCTCCAAGTCGCGAACCGCCACTGAATACGAATGCAAGGGCACTATTTAAAAACTTACATTTATAATAAAAATGTAGAATTAAGAATATATAATTAATTTTCTTCTTTTAATTAACTTTAGTAGGGGGTGCGATCGTTCCGTCCTCCAAGTCGCGAACCGCCACTGAATACGAATGCAAGGGCACTATTTAAAAACTTACATTTATAATAAAAATGTAGAATTAAGAATATATAATTAATTTTCTTCTTTTAATTAACTTTAGTAGGGGGTGTGATCGTTCCGTCCTCCAAGTCGCGAACCGCCACTGAATACGAATACAAGGGCACTACTTGGTTTTGTCACTTACGGCAATTTTTAAATATTTGAACACATTGCTTATAGTTGATCTATTGGTATGTGTCAAAATCTTTTCTTGTGTTATTGTATTTATTAATACGTGTCATATTAAATTAATTCAATTTTTTTTTCACAAAAAAAATAATTTTTATTGTTAGTGCATTGACAAAAGTTTTCTTTCTTTCTTTCTTTTTTTAAGGTATTACATGTATTAATTACACATTTATGGTCCAGTGTTACTTTATTAAACGATTTATCTATAATGTTTTTTAATCAGATAACTTACACCCAGAGAAAAACCTCGATCTATATAATAAATTCATTGTTCAATTTGATAAATATATCATTACTATTGAATCAATGATATATTTATCAATATGATATTTTTTTTTTCTTGTCTTGAACAATAATTATTTATAAGAATAGTTATTTTGTTCGTATTAATAAAACATTATCATAAACCCTTGATAAAATTTCTCTTTCAATTTTGATTGAGGTTTTTCTTTGGGTGTATAAAAAACATAAATGTTTGTTGTGGATATTAGTGTGCGTTCACTTTAATAGAAATTTTATTTGTTATATTATATTAAATTAATTTATGGACAACAAATTAAAGTAGAGGACTGCTTCCACCGACTTTCCATAACCATGCCTAGATCAATAATATTATAAAAAATGTGTTGAATAAGTGATTAAACCATATTTTAGGTCTGTGACACGATGGAAATTCGAGGAGCAAATAATTACTTTATTAAGATGTTCAATTATTTACATGATGTTTAAATTTGCTTTAGGTTTTAGTCTAAAGCAATCTTAATAATAACCATTAGCAGCGCGTCAAAATGTAAAATAAAATGTATGGAGAGACACCACTTTTGTGTTACAATTTTTCCGTTATTCTTCGTTATGATTAGGATCAGCCACTTTTCCATGATAAAAATAATCATGTGTTTTAGATAACAAAATTTCCTTTCATTATAGAAGAGGATAATAATACTTTCACGACTACTCTGATAGTCATATTAGGCGATTAATTACGTTAGTTCAACAGCTGGTGTACAATTTTGTCAAAAAGAATGAGGAGTCCTGAATAAAACTTCAGCGAATTGTCCCACCTTGGATGTACCCGAGGACCACAGGCGAGAGAAAATAAAATAATTAGAGACGGAAGAAACCTAAAGAATAAAGTATTTGATATCAGTCGGATAACTTGTGCGGTAACTGTTTCACTAGCCATGTGTACAGGTTTACCGAATGCTTGTAGTGTCAACGGTGTAGAGACATCATAATTCAACTCTAGGCTCGATATATGTATTGGTAAGAAATATAAATACAAAGTAAGAATAGATACATGGAATGTTGGAACATTAACCGACAGCAGATAATTTTCGAGAAAAAATATTGAATGTACACTCAGAGAAAAACCTCGATCTATATAATAAATTCATTGTTCAATTTGATAAATATATCATTACTATTGAATCTATGATATATTTATCAATATGATGATTTTTTTTTTTTGTCATGAACAATAATTATTCATAAGAATAATTATTTTGTTCGTATTAATAAAACATTATCATATTATGATAAAATTTCTCTATCAAAATTGATTGAGGTTTTTCTTTGGGTGTAGTAAGTGCCTATGTACCATAAGTAGGATGTAATGAAATGTGATTANATTTGATGAAATAGACAAGTGTGTTGGAGAGAGATTGGAGAGGTGATGCAAGGAGTACCTGACAATGAGGATGCGGTTATAGGTGGAGATATGAATGGATATATAGGTAATGAGAGGAGAGGATATGAAAAAGTACATGGAGGGCATGGTTCCAGTAAAATCCAGAAAAAATCTTATATTTCGCAGTATTGCATAATCTTGCTGTGGTTAATATATATTTTAGAAAGAGAGAAGAACATTATATAACTTATAAGAGTGGGAGGTATAGATCACAGATTGATTATTTTATATGGGAGAGAGCATTAAGTGAGTAAAATATTGTAAAGTTATACCAGGCGAGAGTGTAACTTCACAACATAGACTGAAGGTAATCGAGTTTTGGTGTAGTGGGAAGAGAATATACAAAACTAGAAAGAACACAGGAGAAAAAATCGAGGATCCAATAGTGAAATTTGAAAGGGGAAAATGAAAAAAATTTTTATAGGCGATAAGAGAAGACGGTGTGGATTGTGAGGGAGACATAAATAAATTATGTGTGAAATAGATTTTCTAGTTTTGTAAAGAATACTACAAAGGTAGTGAGAGTAGAATGCCAGGAAACAAGGAAATCTGATGGTGGGATGAGGACGTTCAAAAAATCATAGAATTTAAGAAAAAGCAATTAAAAGTAAGGCAGAAGAGCAACAGGAGAGAAGACTGGCTGGAGTATAAACGCTTGTGCAATTAGTAAAGTGTTCAGTAAGTAAGGCGAAGTTTAAGTGGTATGATAAGTTGTATGATAGACTAGGAACAAAGGAAGGCGAAAAAGAAGTCTATAGACTTACAAATACAAACCTCGAATTTTTGAAGAATATTATATAAAACGATATATTATATAAAATATATTATATAACATATAATTTATATGTTCGATATATTATATAACGAATATTATATAAAAAAAACCTTTATTACAGATTTTCAAGTGATTTTTTAAATAAAAATCAATATACAAAAAAAAAACCTTATGTAAAGACGACTATTTTGATACATAATTTTTAAAAATATATTGCATTTTTTACATGTGATAACAATATATAGATAACACAAAAATAATTAAATAGTTTATTTATTTTACTTTGTTATTTTAAACGTTTCAATACCTCATTATAACCTTTTCAAATTTTATACTGACTTTAATATAAATTGTTTGATTTAGTAGAAATAAAGTCTTCTATAATCTTAATATTATCTTAATATCTTGAGGTTGTAAAAAATATTTAATTGTTTTCATTGCTAGTGAATTTTCTGGTAATAAATACCATAAATGGTTTCAAAACTTTTGTACTGTTAACAAGCTTATATTTTCATCAATATCATTATATAAAAAAGACTTTTTAAGAAACATAAGTAAAAAATAGCGCTTTTGTAGCGTTTGTAGCGTTTATTCACGCTATAATATATACTTTTGAAAGACACATATATCTTGCTCAAATTAGCCAACTTTATCATCTCATTACACTAAAGTGATTGAACGAATTTTTTTCAAATTTACATAGTAATTACCTTTTGGCAATTAAAACGTCTGGTGAAAATTTGATGATGGAGAAATAATTTGAACGCTACTTATAGAATTTACAAAATTTACAATTTGCGTATTATGGAAAATCTACTAACTACGTAATTTTCTAGTTTTGTAAAGAATACTATAAAGGAAGTGAGAGTAGAATGCTAGGAAACAAGGATATATGGTTCAAAAAATTATAGAGTGTAAGAAAAAGTAATTCAAAGTATGACAGAAGAGCAACAGGAGAGAAGACTGGTTGGAGTATTAACGCTTATGCAAAGAAGTCAAATGTGCAGTAAGTAAGGCGAAGTTTAAGAGGTATAACGAGTTGTATGATGGCTTGGAACAAAGGAAGGCGAAAAAGAAGTCCATAGACTTACAAAAATAAGAGAAAAAAGGTCTATAGGTTATCACTATGCAAGGTTAGGGTGGTTCTTATTTTACGAATTTCGAAATTTCTTTCAAAACATCTCTCAATTATTTTAATTAAAAACTATAAGAGTGAGAGTAATACATTACAGATAGCGTAAAGCAAGTAAAAGTGTGCAAAGTTATGCTAGGCGAGAGTGTAGATTCACAACATAAACTGATTGTAATGGTGTAATGGTGTAGTGGGAAGAGAATATATTAAAACAGAAAGAACACTGGAGGAGTATTGAGAATCCGGTGGTGAAAATTGAAAGAATTATAAAAAAAGAATTTTTAAAGACGGTAAAAGAGACGACGGTGTGAATTGTTAAGCGAGACATAAATATTGTGTGAAATAGATTTGCTAGTTGTGTAAAGAATACTGCAAAGGAGATGTTTTAAGGTAAGAGTAGGAGTGCATTAAAGTTCTGTTGTAAGTCCTTTCTTATTTTCTATAGTGATGGATGAAATTACTATAGAAATACAAAGAGAGGTACCGTGGTGCACGTTGTTCGCTGACGATATAGTGTTAATAGAAGAAAATAGGGAGGAAATAAATCAAAGGCTAGAGATGTGGAAACTAGCTCTTGAACAAAAGGGATTAAGAATAAATAGGAGTACGACAGAGTACATAGAGTACGAGTTTGACAAAGAAGAGCACGAGGTAGGTGAATTGACGAGATCAGTGACAATAGACGAGGACGTATTAGGAGAGGTGGAAAGTTTTAAGTATTTTGGATTAGTTGTGCAAAATAACGATGGTTTTAATGAGGATGTAAGACACAGATGAGTCTAGTGTGTTATTCGATAAGAGAATTTCAATGTAAGTTTTGTAAGACTAGTGAAACCAGCTATGATGTAAGGTTCAGAGGTTGACAACAAAATAGAGTAGGGAATGAGTGTAACAGAAATGAGAATGCTTAGATGAATAAATGGAGTGACTCGAGATGAGAGAATAAGAAATGAACATATTCGAGGGAGTATAGGTGTAGTGTCAATCGTGGATAAGATGAGAGAAAATAGACTTAGATGGTTTGGTTATGTTATGAGGAGAGAAGAATCGGAAACTGTAAGAACAGTTATAGAAATGAATGTTGAAGGAAGAAGAGATAGAGGAAGACCAAAAAGAGATGGAGGGATGCTATTGAATGCAATATGAGGACAGCTGATGTGAGTGTTTAGGATGTGGGAGATCGTGTCAAGTGAAAGTTTAGAATAAGAATGGCCGACCCCAAGAATTTGGGATATAGGCAAGAAAAAAAAAAAGAGAATAATATTTCGATATGTATTCGTTATACAGTGGTCAAAAATGTAATTTTAAGAGGCTAAAATTTAATTTGTTCGGAATTTTGAATATTGAGAAATAAAATGATTACTAGAAATCAAACAAAAACAAATTAACTAGCTTTCGGTCTTGTATTATGTAGGAGAATGATCTTAGGTTCTTGTTTTCCTCACCATAATCAAGGTAAGGTTATTCATGACTTATATAATCTATAATTCTTATCATTTATAAATTTATAAATAAGCAAGTTGATGGCTAACTATATTTGTTATTAATAGAATATAATACTACTCGAATATGTGCGTCTTTATGCGGAAATTATTTGCATTTTTAAATATGATTTGAAAGGAGTTCAAGCTATTTTAATATATTATTAAAAATTTGATTAAATTTTACACAAAACAGTATTAATTGCTAAGTGAAAAAATACGGTTCTCGCCCATAATTTGGCGAGTTTTACGACATTGTATATAATACTCGCAAATTGGTTACAGTTCTTCTGCTGAATTTTTTCTTATGTATTCTTGATGGTATTATGTGGTAACATCTAGCGGTAGAAAATGTCATTATTATTATATTATATTGTGGGGACCAAAATGTATTTATGATAAGAAATTAGGTAATTTGGAATAGATCATTTTTTACTGTGAATTTTACAATATTATTACTGCTAATAATTTTTTCGGTATCACTGTAAAAATTACAGATTTCATCACTGGTCTTTCAACACATATCTCGCATTGTGATTAATGTAAAATGGGCCGGTTATGGGGATGTCGTTCATTATTTAACACAGACTTAGATATACTCTTTTATTCTTTAAATCATAAGAATAGAATACTATTAAAAACAATATATTATATCTATGTTTTTTCGTAAAGTTAGTTGATGATAACAAAAGTATGAATGATAATAGCTCTTAAAATGATTCCGGCCATTGAAAACGATAAAAATGTTAGCGGAAAATTATTCATGTGGTTGAGTAATAAAATTCTCATACAAATTGTAAATAAAATTTTTGTATTTATATACATTACTCATATATTATTTCTTCAAAATTATATTAACGCGTTATACGCCGATTCCAGTTTAATTTTACTTAAAATGTTACCTTGTTGGTAAGTAAATTAACACAGTAATTGATTTATTACAAATAGTTTTATTTAAGATTATTTTTCTAATTTTCAAACCATTCAAGAATTTTTTTGTCGAAATAGTATTTATCTAAAAGAGTAAATATATTAATTTTTAGTATTAACAGTGTGATTAGCTACTTATGACGACTTGCATTGTATTATTGAAAGAGGTGTAATATAAATTTTAATTTTTAATTTTATTCTTTGTAATATAAATACTTATTATTATGTGGAGTGATACAATTTGGTATTCTATTATATTTTTACTTGAATCAAGATTATTTAAAAGGTAAAGTCTACATCATTAGGTAAAGAATAATGAACTGAGTTCAATTATACTAACATATAATACACATATTTTGTGGACCTAATTCTAAATTAGCAAATTATTTTTATATGAAAATTTTTAAAATAGTATTTCAGAAGTGTTAATTTTTTAAATATGTGTGTAAGAAATGAGTCTGATTATTATTATTTTCATTAGAATTTTATCACCTGTGCTACTCCATATGCTCATATTAAATTCATTTTTTTATTAAAGACAAATAATAAAAAAAATGATCTCAATGTAATTAAAGAATGTATGAATTACTTAAAAAAAAAGTAATGGAAAATATTTGATCAATCAAAAGTTATTAAAAATGTTAAAACATAGTATTACTGTAAAATACTGTTAATTTAAATAAGAAAATTAATACAAATTTTTAATGTGAGTAATTTTAAAATATGTAGTTAAATATTTTCAAATAAAAATTTATTATAGTTCATTTTTTTTTTTTAATTATCAACTTGTGTATAAAAAATAAAATAATTTGCTTAATATGATAAAAGTTATTTCTAATAGTTTTTTTATTATTATTAATACTACAACCTTGATGGTATTCAGAATGAGTTACGTTGGCAGTTACTGATAAGTTATCTTTTATCTTTCAGTATTAATTAGTCTAGTTTAAGTATTTAATTTCTAATTAAATGTTCAATAACATTTTTAATTTTTAAAATTTTCATTTTAAATATAATTGAGGTAATAATAATATTCATTTTTTGTGTTAAAAGGTTTAATTTATAGGTTTAAAATATAACAAATTATTGCATTTTGAAGAATTTCCAAGGCAAATAATTAGAAATGAACTCATCTAAAAGTCCATGCGTTTTGCTAACAGGTGGTGCTGGGTATGTTGGTAGTCATACAATTATACCATTAATTGAATCCGGGTATGAGGTGGTGGTTTTAGATAATTTATCTAATGCATGCAAAGGTATGTAATATTTTAATATTTTTTATATAATTGTAAATTTTTCACAGTTATTTAAATAAATTTAGATTATAATTTTTAAAGATTATATCTAATTTTTTATGACAAAAGTTTATGGTAAATAACTTAAAGATTTTGGGCTTTAAAACTTTTAAAGACATAGTTTAGTTTTATAAGATATTTAGAAGCTTTTTAAGGATTTTTTTTTTAAATAATTACATAGAAATTTTTTAAGGGGGTTAAAGAAAATAAATTTATATGTTATTTGAAATTGGCCAATTAAAAAAATATATTGATTTATAGGACCATAATACCTAATTCTGTATTGATTGTAACTTATACAGGTATTATTGTTATTATTTAAACTTTTAAAATTTCTTTGTTTTCACAAATTGTCTTAGAAATTCTTGCACATCATCTAATTTATTAAATATTTTAAAAAATGGACAATCCAATGTATTATTTCAAATTAAAAGGGCGTCATAGTAAAAGCAATTCTCATACTAAAGCTCAGAGATGGCGTTGTGTTCCATATTAGCGGCAAGGTCACACCGTCATCCCCACTACAGACACAGAATTCTATGTTGGAAATGATTTTTTTTGTTTCCAGACGTACAAACATGTTTATTTTCAATTGAAAATTTCAACTGTTGTACGTAATTCTTTAAATGCAACCTTTCTAACACTAAGAGGCTATCATGATAAATTAAGATATATATTTTTTATGTTGTGAAGTAATGGTCAAAAAATATTTAATTGTCATATTGTTTTATTATCGACTTATCACCCATCATTACTCTCAATAGTAATTATATCTATCACAACATAGATATGATCTTATCTATTCTATGTATTCTAATTATCTGTTATAACATTTAACATTGTTAATTTATTTATTGATAATTTTTCCTATTGTAATCTTAGTTACACTGTTAATTGTAAGAGTAATTCCACCCGATTTAGCATAAATGACAAAAAGTATTTATCAAATAAATATAAAAAAAAGTTGAATGGCGTATAGTGGTCAAAATTAGATTTTTCAACGAGACATCAAAAGTTCAAAAATCGTATCTAATAAAACTAAGTCGTCATTAAATAAGAAATAAAAATACTAATAAAAATCTTTCTCACATACTAATGGAAATAATACAAATAAAAACGTAGAACTGAATAGGAAATAATCTACTACTATTGAGCTACAAAAAGAGTATCTATTTTAATATAATTTTTAAAATATTGTATTACTTAACAGCTTCCAACTTAAAGTCATTCGTGTTGTATTTCTTTACTATCTATAAATCGATAGGAAAATATGTTATATTTATATTTAATATCAAAATGTTTAAAAAGAAAAATGTAGAAATAAACATGTCTATTTACATTACGTAAATAGATTGGGGGTTGGAGGAGCTAGATCTTAAGTATTGAAATTATTCTCTATAAATAGATTAAAATTTGCATTGCTTAAAAGAATACTTTTAAGAAGGCAATAATTTGTTAAATAGACCTTCCCAAAGTATTGCTTGTGTATATTAAAGTATGCATATCAAATATATTTAAATAAGCTAAAAGCTTCTAATATACATATATATGTAATATATATTACAATAGATTTATTGTTATCTGAAACAAATTTTATTCTAACTGGATTTTTTATGTCAGTGCAACATAGATATGTAAATGCGAAAAGTCCTTTCTGCCGGAAAGGACTTTTCGGTAATAACAATTATTATTATAATTTTAAATATGATTACATTATTTCGTTACTTTATTATAATAATTATATGAATTTGAAAGTTAGATGGAAAGTGGTGTAATATATATTAGTTTTTTTAAAAAGTGTCATTTGAAAAATTTAAAACCCCTATGGACTAAATTAGACTTCATTGATAGAATTTAAATGTAAATGATGTTTGAGCCATCGAAAAATAAATCGTATCTAGTTGAAGACATTACCCTTAAAAATTGAAAAAAATTTCCCTCGTTCCCCGTAAATAGGGGAAATCTCCAAAAAAATTACAAATTTAAAAATCTCTAATTTTCGAAATTTTTTCAATTTCTTTTAATTAATACTGCCATAACTTTTTCAAAATTGAACAAATCAATATAATTTTTTTTTTTAATAGATGCATAATGTCTTTACCTATAAATAACCCATTCATTTTTTTAAATTAAACACTCAATAGTTTCTCATCGAAGCATTTTTTATGATAGTGATTTTAATTACTATCAGATTATATCTATACTGGACTCAACTATGTCACGACCCCACTGTACTGGTTTTTTAATGTAAATTTTTAGTTATAATATACACAATTCTAAAATTTTAATTCGATAAATTAATATTGAATAATCTGTGTGTTTTTTTACGTTCTGGCTATTTTTAACATTTTTACATTAAAATAGCCATAAAAATCAAAATATCATAAAAAAAACAAAAATGAAAATTTTTTGATGTAAATATAGCATAAAGATTAAACCCTGAAATATTAAGAAAAAAATAAAGTGGTTGTGCAACTGGATGATTTGGCATGGATTGACCCTAACTCGATTATGTTAGTTTTTACATATTATTTTACTTAAAATATTTGATTTGTCACAACTAAAGAATTTCTTATAGATATTACATTAGATTTGTATTAAAGCATTTTTAAACATATATCTCAGAATAGTTAAAAAATTGACATGAATAATATATATTTAATTTGATGACTAATAGACAATGATTTATAGGTTACTGCATAATGAGTGTTGTATATATTATAACATTAAATCTACATTAAATTAAAGCTAATACAATGTAAATTAAGACGAAAAAAGAAAAATGACCAAAAATCTCGATTTCTAGTAATTTAGTGAGTTATTCAGCGTTAGAGTCAAAATCACAACATTTTTGTTATATTTAGATGATTTTGTATAACTTTAGATGGAATATTTACAGAATGATTTAAAACAAAATTACATTTAAGTTGCTTATACTTTATAGTATAAGCAACTTAAGTTACTTATAGTACTTTAAGTACTATACGATTAATAAGAAAATACATTCGTCTTCTATGAGTTATCGTTCTCTAAAATTGGGTTAAAAAATAATTAAACCCATAAAAATAATATATATTTTGAACATTTGGCTTTTTAAACACTGTGTGTTTGAAACGTAACTACCCTGCTCTAAAGTCAAAAATTATAAAACTTATTGGATATATTATTTTTTTTCAAATACGCATTGAATTGTGTTGTAATGATCGACAATAATTGTAATTGTAATCACTGTTAGATATTAATTAATACTAATCTAAAAAATACTGTAACTCTATTTGCTGGATTCCTACTATACTTTATATTTTAGCTTCGATGCGAAGCTGAGAAGGTATTAATTTTACCATGATGTGTTTATTTTTTTTTTTGTGTCTGTCACTACTTTTTCTCAGCTCTCACTGGACCGATTTCTTTTAACAATACGTCAAAAGATCACAAATTGTATCTAGTTGAAGACATTACCCTTAAAAATTTAAAAATTTTCCCTCGTTCCCCGCAAATGGGGGAAATATCCAAAAAAATTACAAATTTAAAAATCGACAAATTTTGTCATTTTTTTCACTTTTTTTTCTTAAAACTTCCATAACTTTTTCAAAAATCAACAAATCAACATAATTTTTTTTTAAACTAAAACCTTAGATATTTTCCTTTCATTTGATATAATTTTTTTGAAAATTTAACACTTAACCTGCTCATGGGGGGGGATTTAAAATTGCAACTTTTTTACAAAAACTAACTTTTTCAACTTAATTTTTGAAAATGTTCCGGAAATACTGCGTCCTTTAAACATATATCAAATTAAAGCTTATTTTATGTACTATAAAATGAAAAAAAAAAATTTGTCCCGACACTTTATCTTCTGCATGTAAACGGTTGCCGTAGTTAAAAAAACACTATTTTTGTGTTAAAATTTTCGATTTTCAATTTTTAATTTTCAACTTAAAAATGCTATAACTTTTCGAAAAATGCATGTATCAGCACAATTTTTTTTTTTCTAAATACATTATAAGTACATCTTCCATTTGACATACTTTTTATTAAAATTAGACAATTTCCCCTTATATAGGGGGGGTTCAAACTTTGAAACATTGTATAAAAAATAGAACTTTTTCAACTGAACTTTTGAAAATGTTCCGGAAATACTGCGTCCTTTAAACATATATCAAATTAAAG